GGGTCCAAATTTTTTTTGTCTCTGGTGTGGGCATGTAATGTGTTGTTTGAATTTTGGCAGTTCGTGTGTGAGGTTTGCTTTATTAAATTCCCCGAGAATGATTATAACAGAGTCCGGGTGTTGTTGTTCTGTATCTGTGATCTTAATAATGTATAGTGCATGTAAAGTGCACAGTGTCATACACATATTTGTGAATGTATTTGCATGGTCGCTTTGTCACGCCCAGTGTAGACAGCCTCAAGCTGTTGTTTTTCTTTTTTCTTTTTTTTCTTTGGCTAGTAGAAGTTATGAATGGCCGGTAACTTAACAATTTAGTATGGCTGGTGACTGGTGAGTGAAAAAGTTAATTTCAATCCCTGCATATGATCATTCCTCAATGTACTACAACCTCCAAGAAACACTTCATATGTGGCTGCTCTCAAGTATAAGGGGCGGGTTTCGGCTCCAACATGGCCACCGGAGCTGATCGCGGCCACTCTAGTCAACACTTGTGTTACCAGTCGCGCCACGGCACGTCCCAGAAGCTGCTCTCCATGCTGCTTCTGTCAAGATTCACGCATACGCCTCCTTCGATTAAATATAATGGCTGGTGTAGCCAAAATCCGTCAAAATCCCATCAAAATCCATTGCCATGACTTATCGCGAGAGGAGAAAATTAAGTTTTAGTCGCATAACATCAGTTAATGGAAGCGCCGTCATTTCGCAATACTTTTTTATCGACATTTATAAAATATCGCCAAAGTTTTGCGTAAATCTGTAATGGAAATGCGCCTATATTCATGTGTTTAGCCTAGAGGTGCAACGGATCACAAAACTCACGGTTCGGATCATATTACGGATTTTGAGTCACAGATCGGATCATTTTTCGGATCATCAAAAAATAAATAAAAAAATTTGGTGAAAGCTTACTTTAAGTACTTCTATACCACAGCAAAAACTACTAGCTTAAATAATAAAGTTAGTAATAAAACAAGAACAATTACACAAATTACAAGCATAGAAATACAACAAAACACAGTTATAAATAAAGTCAGTAACAGTAGCATTCAGATGCAGAAATGTAAGAATTAAGTGTAAAATAACACAATAGTGCTCACTGCACAAGTTAAATACAGATTCATCTTTGTTAGAGCTGTGGTGTTTGATTAGCAGACAGAAACAGGTATTTATTGGCTGCTGTCTCTTTAAGACCAAAATGCATGGACCTAATACTGACACACATCCGGTTTCTTTCTCAGCTGTTTACGTTAACTTAAGACTGTGTTTACGGATCATCTACGATCCGTTGCACCCCTAGTTTAGCCTAATGCTTACAGTGTATTTGTGATAATTAGACATTAAAATATATGTACAGATTCATATACTTGTTCATCCATTTATCCACTCTCCAAATACTTATGTATCCTATGTAGGGTCACAGGGATGCTGGACAGTAAAACATTTAGCTGAACTGAGCCATTTACCTTTATCTGGACTAGATATTTAATTTTTATATTAACATAAATGTTTATTATAAAAGTAAAAATAACAATAGCAATGGTCACACTGTAGTTTGGGGACCAATTCTCACACTATTAACTAACTATTAACTACGACTTTTGCCTCAATAAACTCCTAATTTGCTGCTTAATAATGGTTAGTAAGGTAGCTGTTAAGTTTAGGTACTGTACAGTATGGGGTGGATTAAGGGATCTACAATATGGTCATACAGGATAAGACATTAATATGTGCTTTATAAGTACTAATAAACAGCCAATATGCTAGTAATATGCATGCAATTAGTTAATAATAATAATAATATTAATAATAATAATGTGCTTTTGTTTAGTGCATACTGTATAGTGGAATATTTATTATATTAATATAAACTTCTTAATAAAATAATATTGTATTTCTATATATTTTAATTTTTTTTTTTTTATATATATATATATATATATATATAAACTGTAATATAATTATAAACGTTGTATTCTTGGTTAATGCTTATAATGCAATATTTATTTATTTATTTTAAACTTTAGTAAATATTGTATTTCTTAATTCATATAATGAAGTATTTATTTTTGTATGTATATAAATAGTATAATAGTATAATAATAGTTGTGGTCATGTTTAATGCCTATAATGCAATATATAATATATTAATATATGCTTCATTAATAAAATAAATGTTGTATTCCTACCTTATTCATATAATGTAGTATTTATTTTATTTATATAAACTTTCAAATACTATAATAAATATCACCTTTTTGTTTAATGCCTATAATGCAATATTACATTATATATTAATAAAATATGTGATATTAATAATATAACTAAATAAGTATGGTATTTTGTTTAATTTATAGAATGCAGTATTTATTATATTTATGCAAACTTACATGTTAATAAGTTATATTGCAGTTTGTTATTTTCACACATTTTTTGTTTAAAAATCAGACCGTAAATGACCTCCTCCAGTGTTGCTGCCCTGCTCTACATTCATAAGCTCCTACAGGAATTAGCCGTGTTATATATGACCTGTATATGTCTGTGTTTAGCGTATTGCTGCTGGAGGAGACGGAGAGAGCATGAAGTTCTTCGGCCAATCGATTCACGGCATCATGGATTTGAATGATGACGGCATCATTGACGTCACCATCGGAGGAATAGGAGGAGCCGCGCTTTTCTGGTGAACTTTCATTGAATTTATTCCTCTCAATCTATCCTGTAGTACAACATTTCAAATTCCCACTAATGTCCAGGGCTTAAATAAAATCATGGGTGTGTAACTTGAACCCACTACCCTCTGGACGTCCAGCTTCCTCGTTCCCACCCGCAGCAGCTGTCTCGAATTTGGACCCGAGCCTAAACATCCCACATCGCAGAGGCTTGTCCGTCAGGGGTTACGTCCCTCCGCTACGACCCATTTCTGCTGGCCTCTGAAACTGTGTGAGAGTGCCTCCAACCACCAAATAAACGCTTGGCTGCATTTCCTCTCTTAGATCCCCTGTAGAGATCACAGATTCCAGAAAATGACCCCTAAACGCCGAAACCCTGCGACTGTAGAGCAAAGCCATGGAGTCTAGTGACCTCTGCCATCTTCACTCCCCAAACTGCACCACCCAGCCTTTTAGGAGCTCTCAATTTGCCTGTAATTGACCACATATTGTATTTCTGGAGGCCATCTGAAGTGTTTCGTTAGCCTGAACTCAATCTATGATCTACGAACCAGCTGTTGTTGCACAGAGCGAAACGAGACACCTATTAATCCTCCAAATGCGGATCCGTTCAAGTAAACATCTTGTTGTATTTGTTGAATCCAGGTCTCGGGATGTCGCAGAGCTTCTTGCCGAGATGACCTTCGACCCTAGCAAGATCAATCTGCAGCAGACCTGTCAGGTTCAAGGGAGGACCACAGTATGTGTGAAGACCAAAGTGTGCTTCAAATATCGAATCAAGTCTGACAAAGACACAAACACAGGAACGGGTGAGGAAGTGATGCGCTTTCTTTATGTTTTGTCAGTCAAATCTTTCCAATTCTGCGTTTTCGAATGGTGTTTTGCTCCAGTCATCAGGTACAGTTTGACTCTTGACTCGCTGAGAGCGATTGCTAGAGGACGGTTTAACGAAACGGACAACAGGAGGCTGCTGAAGAACGAGTCCATCGTGGACAGGCTTTGCAGAGAGCACACCTTCTACACATCGGCAAGTAAACCAGTCTTATACACAAGAGGGCCGCGCAAACTTCTGTCACGTGATTTTTAGCTTCTTCGTGTTCAGTTGTGTGTACGGTGTGTATATAAAGAAGAAACGCTACTAGAGTTCTCCAGCAACAAGCTACGTTTTAGAACAAGTAACAGTTTAGTGTATAAAAAACATGATGTTGCTCCTTTTTTGGATGACATACATAGCCTTAAAGACAAGCAAACAAGGCAATAACTCTTCTAGAATTAAGATGTTTTTAGTTTTATTAGTTGTTCATTCATTAAAAATTATATTAATACATATATTTACTTGGATTCACCTCTTCTGTGATGAAAATATATGTGTGAATTTCTGAATTGAAATTAATTTTGATATGTTTAGGGGGCCTAAAGGCAAAAATGTCAGGGTGGTGCAACCGTCCTGATATTATAATGAAGAAATACGCCTCATTAAATTCTTGAAAAGAACACCTTATGAAGTATCAGTGTTGTTTTAGTATCATTGATATACTATTATAGTTTCTATTCATATTTTGAATAAGTTGTTACTTTAAACTTTTGTATTTTTAATTTAATTTTAGTAATAAGTTGTTACTTTAAACTTTTGTATTTTTTATTTAATTTTAGTAATTTTGTTATCTTTTTTGTATTTTTTTTTAAATGGCTATATAGTTTTAGTTTTCGTTTATAATATTTATTTACATTTATAATATAATTATATATAAATATATTTAAATTGCAGTTATTTTATTAATTCAATTTAACTGAAATTGTTGTCTTGTCAGCTAGTTAATAAAATAAGTTTAAAAAAAATTTATTTTTATTTTTTTAATTTCATTTAATGCTTGTTTTATTTCAAATAATGAAAAGGTTCTTTAGTTTTTAGTTTTTGTTAACAATAAACTAAAGGTTTTTAGTTTTTGTTAACAATAATAATTCTTACTGTTTCTTGAAGCAGTTTTGATTAAATATCAGAAATATTAACTATTAACATGCAGAAATATGCAGGGAAAACACAAAACAGGAAATTATATCATAGGTCAATAAGTCTCTTAAAGTGTCAGACGATTTGACCGTTTTATGACAAGGCTACACGTGTCATGTGGTACAACCGAAAATAAATAATATTTATGAAAATCTGTAAAAACAATTTTTTTTAATTTAAAAAAATATATATATATTTAAAAAAAAATGTTATGTTTGTCTGTAAAAGTTTATTTATCATCTATCAAATTGACCTTAAAAATATATTTTAAAGCATAGTGATGAGAAAATCTGTCGGTGCATGTAATATATGTTGCTTTGGATAAAAGTGTCTGCCAAATCTATAAATGTAAAGTAGTAGCTTGTAATGGAGACTGTACACTCCCTCCAGATGAGCTTCTTATAAAACCAGTCCCTCCTCTTCTCCGAAACCATTAACTGTCTATTGTTTTTGCCTCTGATCTAGATAATGTTACGTTTAACATCTCTCAGTAGATAAAGAGCATAAAACTAAGCGTTTGAAACCAGACGACTTGAGTTTAATAAAAGCCAGAGGTTCTCTGATCAAAGGCCCGAGGCCAGAAAAATCATCCCAGCCTCCATTGAGAGACTGCAGCACGTCCTGCTTCACTGCATACTTGCCCTCGGAGATCCAGAGGAAGTATGCAGTCTGTGAGCAAACTGAGCAAAAGAAGTGATGCCCCCTTGTGTCAATGATGGACGGCTGCAATACTGCACGATCAATATGAGAATATGACTTAAGCCAATAATATATAGTTTATAATGGCAGCTGCTAGCGACAGAATGAATCTGATACCATTTCTGTAGCTTTTCAGTCTGTTTATTGCTGAGTTGCTAGACAGACGTTAAGCTTAAAAAAATTTGCAACATCTTTTATTATCCCCCACAGGATAAACTGGATTTCAGAGACCCCATTATGGTCACGCTGGAATTCGGTTTAATGGATGAAGACTCGGGTCCAGTTCTAGACGGGGAATTACCGACGTCACTCAACAAGACTGTAAGATCTCATGCTCTCTTCCTCTATCAGAGCCGGAGGTTTATATGTGTGGGTCACTGCTGCAGTAATAACACTCATTAAAGAAGGAGTGAATGCGGGCGGCAGCTGTACGTTAGGCTAATGAAGTCTCTCTAATTTTACAAGCGCTGGGAGACTTTCTCCATGCTGAGCTGCTCTCTCACACGCAGTTATAATGAGATTATTTAGCTGAAGCAGGGATGGACTGGCAGAAGTAATGTCAAGACGACTAGTTGGGCATGATGACTTTATTCATTTAAATGTACATTTTCTTGCAACATAAATATGAAAAGACATGCTCACTTTTTTTTTGCTCATGAAAGGTGAAGTATAATTATTCAGATTTGAATGAATCTGAACAATTTCCTTGTGAGTTTTGATTACTTACACAGATCGTTTTTCATTTTTAAAATGTAATTTGTTATTTAGTTGTGCTGACTTTTTGATGAGAAAATATCAAGTATTATATTATAAAGACAACGTTGTTTACAAATTAAATATTTTTTATATATAATATGTTATATTATTATATTATTTTTAATGTATAATAACATGAGAGGAATTTATAAATACTCATACTCATCATAAAATATTTCAAAAATGTCAAGCATGATATTATAAAAACAACATTAAATAATGAATTTAAAATGTATAATAATGTGAGATGAATATAGAAATACTCAAATACTTTCCACAAAATATTTCTAAAATAACAAACATGATATTATAAAGAAAGACAGCATGTTTTTTTTGTTTTTAGTTTTTTTTTACAAATTAAGTAATATATTTAAAATGTATAATAACATTTGAGTTTAATATAGAAATACTCAAATATTTTTTCACAAAGTATTTCAAAAATATCAAACATGATATTATCAAGATATGTTGTTTACAAATTAAATAATATATCTAAAATGTATAATAACAAAACATTCAATATAGAAAAGACCTAAATATTTTTTCACAAGATATTTCCAAAATGTCAAGCATGATATTACTGTTGTTTGCAAATTACGTTTTAAAATAAATAATAATATATGTCAGATGAATGTTGAAATACTCACAATACAAAAATATTGTGCTAAATACAATAAATCATTATTAATCTCATGAATTTTGACCAGTTTTTAGAAAGCAAAAACCAGTTTTGTGAATTCAAATTTAAAATAAATAACTACATAAATAAATAATTGTGTTAAATATTTAATCATCAAACCCCTGAATTAGACAATACAGCAGGTGATATTTGTATTATATGCATGGACTTTACACATTAATTGACTTTACACAGTTATTTAACTGAACTGAATCAGCGATGAGCTGATTTCAACTGAATAGCGACTATTTATCCTTGTCCTTTTAGAACTGCTTTACAGCAGAATTAAATTCTGTTGCATCATTCGAATCATTTTTTTCATGTTTATCAATGTTTTGAAACAATCTGTATAGTACAAAGCGCTATAGACATAAAGGGGAAAAATAAGTGATACATAAAGTAGAGGATTATGGCTGGAATGAGTCCTGATTTTACTCCCAGTCCATCCAGAACTGGAGGTTTCTTATATAACTCATTGTGTTCACACACACACACACACTCATGTTTGTTTCTGTAAATTGTGGGGACTTTCCATAGGCTTCTATTGTTTTTATACTGACCAAATTATATTTTCTATCCCCTAACCCAACCCTAAACCTGCCCCTTACAGAAAACCTGTTTGCATTGTTACACTTTCAGATAAACATCGTTTACTATTTTTAATATTTTTTTCCCTCGTGGGGACTGCAGGCTGGTCCCCACAATGTAGCATAAACAAGTACACACACACACACACACACACACACACACACACACATAAACCCAAGGAGACAGCTTTACAAGCTCACGAGATAAGGTTATCAGGAGGAAGAACACATTTTCCTGGAAACTTCACTGAGTGTTTGCCTCTGCTACTCCCTCGAGTTCTGTTGTTCATGTCTTCTAAAGCATTGGAGCAGGAAAACAATTCCTGACACAAATATTTGTGGGAAACATTTGGCTTAATGCTTGTTGCAATTAAATTACATTGTTGGGAAAGGGTGCAAAACAAAAGCTGATTCTGTACAGCAGATACTGATACTGTTACAGATACTGATACTGTTTCAGACTAACAGTGTTTGGCAAACTTAAAGGGATGAAGATGCTTTTGAAGTTTGTTTTTACCACCATTCGAGCACGTCAAAATAAATCATCCGTTATTACGTTTCTTTGTATTTTCTTTGCTCTAGATTGCATTAGTGGACTGCGGGAATAACGACAAGTGTGTTGCTAATCTACACCTTAAAGCCACTGCAAACATCTCAAGGTATTATTAATCGCTTTTAATATGAGGTCAGTTAAATCGTCCTATTTGTGCCTTTCTGCTTCATTCCTTGATATTATTATACAGTATATGTAAAATGACAATTCAGATAATTATGGCATGATCTGAAGTGGCTGTGTTATTCGTATAGTACATGATTTCTTGTTTATGCCCATGTATTTTTGTCATTTCCTGTTGTCTGCTGCCCCCTTCTGTTGACTTTTGAGAGAATAGGTTCAGCACACGTTGTTCTGTCAAAGTCATCAACCTCAGATTTGTCTGCAAGACATTACAACAAGATAATAGAAGCGAACGAGAGCACTAGATGCAAATTGACTTTGTCCATCTCCATGTATTTCTATAGACTTCTCATAAAAAGCAACCAGGAGAAGTTTTATGTCAACATCGACATCCACAACAGCGGAGACAATGCTTACAATACTAAGGTTACACTGAGCCACACGGAAAATATCAACTATGTGAAAGTTGAGGTAGGATTTGTCATCTGTAATGTGGCAAGAAAAACTTTTAGATGGAACAAATCAGCGACAAATACATTCAAAATGAGGAAAAAGTCATTGCTATTTTCAAAAACAGTTAATATCTGTTGTCACTTTTTTGCAGCCCAAAGATAAAGACTGTGAAACGAATCATACCAGAATAGTATGTGCAGTTGGATATCCTTTTCTTAAAACTGACAAAAAGGTGAGATTTGCCTCTTACTATTAAATTAACATAATCAAATAATGTGCATTATTATATCTCGTTCTGTTTACACTCTTATCATGTCAATCCAACAGGAAAGCTTCAAAATCCAGTTCGAGCCCAATCCCTTTCATATTCGTAAGGACATTGTGATCAATGTTACTGCAACCACGTAAGAATTACGCCCATGACTACTCACTAATTAAATCCACTTTTTACTGTGTTTGACTCAATTAAACAGAGAATAATATGGAAGCCCATTTCCACCAAAAATAAAAAAGATAATTGTGACTTTTTATGTCGCAGTTCTGACTTTTTTTCCTCAGAATTGCATATGAACTCAATTGCAAAAAATAAGTCAGAATTTCAAGCTATAAACTCACAGTTCTGACTTTTTTCTTGTAATTCTGAATTTTTCTCTCACATTTGCGAAAATACATCTCGCAGTTCTGACTTCAGAATGATAAAAAAAGATATAAATTCACAATTTCAAGTTACAAAGTCCAATTCAGAGGAAATAACTATTTTCTTACAATTGTTTGCATCTTGCAGTTCTGACTTTATAACACACAATTGCGATTTTACTGTATATCACACAATTCTGACATGCACAATCTCACAATTGTGATACAAAAAAGTCAACTGCAAGATGTATAGTCAGAATTCTGAGATAAAAAGTTGCAATTACCTTTTTTGTTTTTTTTATTCAGTGGCCGAAACAAGTTTCCATAGAATAGGGGCACAGTATTTTGATATATAATTATTATTTTGACTGCAGTGATAGTGAGGAGTCGGATTCAGACTTGAAAGACAACTTTGTGAGCATCATCATCCCTGTGCAGCACGAAGCCAACCTGAGATTCACTGTGTAAGTGGCTTTTTAAACCAACCAATCAACTTTGCCAAAATAAGCATCTGAGCAGAACTGAACTAAGCAGTAATGTTAATGCATTGACAGATGAGATTTATTCAGTTTGCCATTTCATTCTGTACACTCTTAAAAATAAAGGTGCTTAAAAGGTTCTTCAAGCGATGTCATAGAAGAACCATTTTTGGTTCCACAAAGAACCGTTGAGTCAAAATGTTCTTTAAAGAACCATCTCTTTCTTCCCTTTTTATAATCTGGAGAACCTTCTTTCGCCACAAAGAACCTTTTGTGAAACAGAAAGGTTCTTCAGATGTTAAAGGTTCTTTATGGAACCATTTAGACAAAAAAAGATTCTTCTATGGCATCGTGAAGCACCATTATTTTTAAGAGTCTAATATATCTAAAATGTACTCTATATTTAACATATATAAAGTAATTTGCATAGTGAAATGTAATTAAATGTTCAAATGATATATACACCAGGACTGCTGGTCAGAGTATAAATACGTTTTTATCTTAGAAACAAGTATATGAAGCAGGACCACATCATATTTAAAGAGAAGGAGACGATACCCAGCGTTTTCAACCACACTAGTGTGATCGGGGATGAGGTGAAAATCAGCTACACGGTAAGACTCAAAACGTCAATCTGGAGTTTGAATCACTTCTTTCAGGGCATCATGTGAACAAAATTAGGAACTTTTAAAGAGAACTATGTCTATGTCATAGCAGTTAAAATGGTAAAAATGACTAAACTAAGATACTGCATGGCTGAGGAGTCATCTTGGAGTCAAATGGAGTCTGATGCCAATGTCAGATTGTCATTGGGAGTTGTTATGATCCAGATTCACTTAAACTGGTTTGAGTGTGAATGCTCTGTTGATGATCAATTTCTGATTGATTTCCCTTTGTGCTCAACAGATTGAGAGGGATCCTGAAATGCAGAGTCCTCCACTGCTGCTCAAGATAATGTTTCCATATCAAACGTCTGTCAAAAACTTTCTGCTGTACTTGACAGATGTCAGCTACACAACGGTAGGTGCTCTGATTCCTTAAAGCTATTTGTGGCGCTGACTACAGTACGTGACTTGCTCAGAAATATCTCAACTGCCTCATTTCATTCTCACAGGGCATTAGCTGTGATGCCAGCAGACTGATTAACCCTTTAGGCATCAAGCCTGACAAGCCTTATACAGTGAATCCTAAAAAAGAGACCTTGAGTGTATATCTTTTGGTGAGTAAGCAGGGCTTTTCTCATGAATATGTGAAATGGATATCTGATGGTAAGTGTTTTTCTCGTATCATTTTTCGTTCTTTCAGAGTTGCAAAGAAGAAGGAAATCCCTGTGAGTCGTTTAGCTGCTCCATCCCACCTGGAGACTTCAATCAGATCAACACCACTTTCAGAGTGTGGCGACCCACCTTCATCAAAGTACGCCCTTCATCTTCTCATTTACTTTCACAGTTCTGCTGCGTGTGATCTGTCAGTATGCTGTAGTAATAGTAATAATTCATCTATAGGGAGAATTTTCCAACATTCACATGGCTGTCGATGCCAAGCTGGAGAGCAAGGACACGGGCCTGTTTGTGTTAAATGACAACGTCAAGATCAGAGAGGTATGAAAACGAACGCGCCCTGGATTTTGCACTAATATAAATATAAGCAGCAATTCAAACAACCTTAAAGGGATATATATATTTTTTTTTTTCACAAAATTAAAAAAAAAATACCACGATTTACTCACCCTTAAGCCATCCTATGTGTATAAGGCTTTCTTCTTTCAGATGAATAAAATCGGAGTTATATAAAAAAAATGTCCTGGCTCTTCCAAGCTTTATAATGACAGTGAATGGAGGTCGTGATTTTGAAGCCCAAAAAAGTGCATCCATCCATCATAAAAATTGCTCCACACGGCTCCAGGGGTGAATAAAGGCCTTCTGAAGCATTTGTGTAAGAAAAATATCCATGTTTAAAACTTTATAAACAGTAATCTCTAGCTTCCGCTAACTGTTGTCCTCGCGTTCACAACAGAGTGGCGTTCCAGCGGATGACGTAGACATAGCTTGAGCTCCGGTGAGAAGTAACGAAGTGCAGAGGAGTGAGCAAAACAAAACACCGGTCACAAATTAGAAGTACAAAACGAGGATTTGTAAAGAAAAATGTCAGAGGATTTCGATATTTTTTGCTTGAAAAAAACTTGGTTCTCATGAGATTAGCATATTCTCACCGGAGTTTACGCTACGCCGACGTCCTACGACATCCGCTGGAACGCCACTCTGTCATGAACGCACGTATGACAGCTAGTGGAAGCTAGAGATTACGGTTTATAAAGTTTTTAATATGGATATTTTTCTCACACATTCTCATCGGTTCACTTCAGAAGGCCTTTATTAACCCCTCAAAGCCGTGTGGAGCATTCTTCTTATGATGGATGGATACAATTTTTTGGGCTTCAAAATCTCGACCCCCATTTACTGTCATTATAAAGCTTGGGAGAGTCAGGGCATTTTTTAGTATAACTCTGATTGCATTCGTCTGAAAGAAGAAAGTCATATACACCTAGTATGGCTTGAGGGTGAGTAAATCATGGGGTAATTTTCATTTTTGCGTGAACTATCACTTTAAATTAACATCATGACCATTAAGATTAAACATTGCATCAGGTACAGTCTATATATTCTGTGAAAGTGCTGTAAGGGATTGTTTTGCAATTCCAGTAGAATATAGAAACTCAAGAGGACATCCTGGGTTATGAAAACAGGAATTACTGATGTGTCGCTCTATGATGAGCCAGCTACTTTAAGTGAACAGTGGGAGTCAGCTCCCATCTGAGAGATTATTTCTTTTACTTATTTTCTTTGGATACAGATAATTACAAAAAAAAACTCTAATATTGACAGTTAACAAATCTAAATGAAACCTAATGTATCTTGCATCCCTAAATAATATTTTATTTCATACTATTAAAGTGGAAATGATAGTTCACATTATCTATTTTCTAAATGCATGTTACTGATCTTATTGTGAACAATTCATCCATGCAGAGGTTCCGTTTTAATTATTAATTTTTTAATTATTAACTATTGTTATATCATTCTTGGTCTGAACAGTTAACAAAATGGCTTAAATCTCTTACAGCACCTTTAAATTAGGACTTGTACTCCATTTTAGCTTTTAAATAGTGACTAGTGTTATATGTTTACCGCAGGTGAAGATTCAAGTCACCAAAGACATACGAAGTGGAATCCCTCTATGGATTATAATCCTTAGTATTCTAATAGGACTTTTAATTCTGGCACTTGTCATCTTTGCTTTATGGAAGGTAAGCTTTCTAATTTGCTTATGTTAATTCCTCTGCACACTCACAGTACCACAGTGATGCTGAATGTTGACTATGTTGAATGCTCTCCTCCAGGCTGGCTTCTTCAAGAGAAAATCAGTCGAGGACATGAAGGAAGATATGAAGGACTCTAATTGAAGCCTGTGGATCTGTAGCCTCCACCCCTCAGGTCAACTCATACTTCACCGCTAGCCAAGGTCATGGAAATCATAAAGCAGAAGAATCACCAGGAACATTCAGAAATATGAAGATCAGTCATGTAGGACATCTGGGTTCACAACTAGTGTATTGTAGAGCATACCAAAGAGAACCCAGCGCTTTGCTTGACACGTTGATTTATCTTCATGTTGCTCACTGCAAAATTCGACTGAATGTGAACTCAAGTGAACCTCTGAGATGCCACAAGATCGGTGGACATTTTGCAAAACCACGAGAGTCAAGCTTGAACAGCAAAGCACCAAAGGTTCATCTTGTCTGAACTCGACATTCCACCAACCAACCTCAGACCCTCATCTGTAACCCTCCTACGGCATTCATCATCAGCATAGCAAGGATCAGGAACCTGTCCTGGTAACATCTACAGTGATCTACAGTCCCGTAATCAGAACCATACACTGTTATTGGCAACAGGTTTATTCCAATAACTCACTTTTAGAGCTTGTTTTGATGGAGCGCTGTACAGTGATGTTTTTTAATTCAAAGCATTTGTTTTGATTAGTGTTATGGGCTATGAATATTGTCACATTCCTTTTTTTGTTCACAAAGCAATTTTTTGGCACTGACGTTTTTCATACTTTTTGTCTACAAGTATGAAGAGGAAAAGGTCTGTACTGTAAATGTAAAGCTTTAAAGTGTATATAAAGTTATGTATGCAATACCATGTTAATGATAAAGTAATGGCTTTATCAAAATTATTACATCATCTGTATTCAGTGTGATACCTGTCTTGTTTTCTGAGGTAGAAAGCGTCTTCATGCCCGCAGTATTTCTCAGGTGTTCCAGATGGGTTGCAGTGAATGTCTGGAATCACTTTCTCATTCGATTTTTGCCATATGTAAATATTAGGAAAACAATTACTTGACTGAAACAGAAATGTTAAAGCTAAAGTGTGTAATTCATGCACCTCTATGCCAGCACCAAACTAAATAATGACTGTTTTCAAACAGGATTCCCAAACGCTCTCCTATTGGTCGATAGCCCCGTCCTAAAATCACACCATTGGTTAAGTCAGTGTTGCTGTTGTCAGGAGGATCAAACAAACAGAGAAATATTTTGAGATTACCACAAAGACAAGGTGCTTATACTTTTAAGGTGCTTAATCTACAAATGACTTATAGTTGACTCTTTATATTAATTTGGAGTAGAAGAGAGTATTTTAACAATAAAGAAAATGTAGGTTATGAACCCCAATAAATATCACACACAGAGTGCACAAATGTACTGCTATGCATACATATAGTGTGGTTAAATTATACAAAATGCAAAATGAGACTAAATTACAGATATTGCAAATGGTGCAATCAAACATACATATAGAGTATGAGTGCCTTAATTTATGATGCTCTGGGTCTTTGAATGGGAAGAAGAATTAAAGCAAGATTAAAGCATGAATACATTTGTAATTAATTAATGATTCATTAAGCTAATGTTTTGTGGTAGTTACATTGTTTCTGGTTCCACAGTTGTTGTTGTTTTGTTTGTTTGTTTGTTTGTTTTTCAGGGGTTTTTCTTTTTTAGACCACTTTTTTCCTTTCCCTTTCTCCTAATTTCTTCATAAACGCCTTAAAGACCATATAAGCAAATTGCAAGGCCATTGCAAGCTTTTGTTCAGCACAAAGCACCACAATTTGCCATTGACTGGCATCGGTTTCAACATATTTGATTTTTAATGTGCCTGTTTTTGCCGAAAATGATAAATGTGGCATGCTAGAACTTCAGCTTAACCCCCAAGTGTGAATATTTAAAATATTCAGAGAAAAAGAACAGAAAGAAAGTGCTTCCCAACTCTGTTTTTCTGCTTTATAATATGAGTCATAAATATAATTTAATTATTTTTTTTTTTTATTTAATTGGTGGTTTAAATGAACACTCATTCAATGGTGAAAACTGATCAATTGAGGTTTTTTTTTTGTAAAACAAGAAAACAATACATGCAAAGATGTGAACGGTGTTCTGCAAGTGTTCGGCTTTGTTTCTTATTCATGTGGTACTGCCTTATGATGTGTAGTATATGTCTTATTACAGGGTTCCTCAAATCTTGCCCTGGAGGGCCTATGCGCTGCAGAGTTTAGCTCCAACCCTGATCAAACTCAGCTACCTGTGATTTTCTAATGATCCTGAAGATATTGATTAGCTTGCTCAGGTGTGTTTGATTAGGGTTAGAGCTAAACTCTGCAGGAAAGTGGATCTCGTGGGCCAGATTTGAGGATCCCTGTCTTATTATATAACTGTCATTTCAACACAAGAAAAAAATGTTCTTTAAAGTTGGCATGAAAAAATGTATTGCTGTGTGGGTTCAAAAGCTGACTCATATTTGGCACTGTAACTTCAACATCCACTCTCATATTTTTGTGTCATTTAGTCACTTTTTTTGTTGAATGAGATGCCATGATTCTGTTGTATAAAATATTACAATCAACTGCATTCATGTTTCAGACACACAAAAACGGTTTAAAAATAATTTGGTGAAAACATGTAAGATAATTAAGCCTCACTCTCAGATGAAGACCATCGGTCTTGGGCACCTGTCAGATACTCTGCTGTGAAGTTTCTATGTAATGCACTGGTTTGTCATATTGCACATACTTTTCAGCACGGATTTAAAAAGCCTTGCACATATTGTCAAAAAAAATAAATGCTTATTTTGTAATTTAGACACTTTAAGAGACATATTTGTGTGTGTTTTTATTTATACAGTACTGAGGGTATTCCAAGAAGCAAGGAAACGGTCACCACAGGGCTGCCAATTGACACTTTTCTCATGCTCTCATGCCACACATCCATTTTCTCACTCAGTCAAAAGCACCCTGAGTTAAAACTGTAATAATAGGATATTGGCGAAACAGATTAGGTAAAGGCTCCTGTGCCCAGATATACTGCAGGAAATGAGTATACGCATAATTACAACAAAAATAGTTTATTTTTGCTCCACCAAAGTAAACAGTTCAAAACTAAGCCAAAGCAGAAACTCTGCATATCTCTGAGCAAACACAGTCCTGGTAGGGTTTTTTTTGTGTGTGTTTTGTGTTTTTTTGGTGCCTGAACTGATACTTAAAAAAAAAAAATAGGATGGACTGGCAATTATTGAAAGCTATAAACACATTTAATGTCTGTTTCAGTCATACTGGACGCCAGAGGGCGCCCTCGCGCAGAAACTCGTTCTAGTACATACCGGTTACATAGGTACCAGTGCCATATTGGCACCGGGTTTCGGTACCCAACCCTAAATGTAACACTGTAATGCTCAGCCAAATACATTTAATGACTGGAACCAATTGTTGTGTAAAGCCCCTTTGCACCGGAGGAATCTTTTCATAGTTCCTAGAACTATTGGCTGAAGTTCTCACTTTTGGTGTGTTCACACCACAGGAACTAGGAATGTGTTTAGTTCTAAGAACTCCATTGGGGGAACTAATTAGCTCCTACTTCAGAGTAGGGTCTGAAACAGTTCTATAGGAACTACCAGTGAGGTAGTGTACGCTGATTGGTCAAACGCAGCCATGTAAAAATATTTACTCCACGAACATGGAAAACGGTGATAACGGCATTCACCTATTGTCTGCAGTGTTTTGCGTTTTGTTGTCTCGATGATATGTAACACTACAAGTTGTCATAGGAGATTTAGTCAGATTTCCATGCTCTTTTCAATCGTGTAAATTGTGCGTTTACATTTGTCGTGGAACAAACAATGGTCTTCTCAAATTTGTCAAAGTTCAAGAAGCAGAGTTCCAGATGCCAAAATAAGACTTTCTTGAACACAGCAACAAAGCTGAGATGACAGCCGCCACATCTGTCTTTGTCCGGGCAGCCATACTTATACCTTGTTCTTGTCAGTCTTTTCAACCAAAAAATTACAATTCGGCCTCTGATTGTTCTTACTTCACTAGTTTTGCTACAATTAATTCATACTCGATGATACTGGGATTGAAAATATCAGTATCGGATCGAAAATAAAATAAGAGGTATCGCCCATCCCTATTGACTGTGACCTCTGTCAGCTACAACCTGCAACCTTCAATCTCCCCCTAGTGGACACTCGAAAACTTACACTTAAATCATATTGATCTTTTTAACCTCTACACAGGCAGCCATACTTATACCTTGTTCTTATCAGTCTTTTCAACCAAAAAATTACAATTCGGCCTCTGATTGTTCTTACTCCACTAGTTTTGCTACAATTAATTCATACTCCTCTTGGTTTACGTTCTAATCGTAGGCTCCCGCTAGTTTGAACCATTTTCCATTTCAACCTTAGTCTCACCCTCTCCCTAAATGCAGGTGTCCTCATGGCCATTCATCATACTTGTTTGTGCCATCCTTGACATAATTAATTAATAATAATTATTATAATTTATGCATTTAGCAGACGCTTTTATCCAAAGTGACTTACAGTGCATTCAGGCTATAAATTTTTTTACCAGTATGTAAATATATATATGTATACATATTCTTGGAAGTCACCCAAAGTTCACTGGTTCACTCTAGTTCATTGGCGCTGCCCAATGGAAAGCACCATACTTGCCCATTAGAGGGCACCTAAGACTCACAGTCTATATTAAGACATACAATATTGAAGCAATCATTGAAACAATCACCATATTGATCAGTATATTGATTATGGTTATAGCCATACCTCATATTTTTGAATAAAATATCACAACACATTCCATTTCCATTATCACAAAACACACCACACACAACAAAAACACCTCCAATCACGGCGTTCTCCATTCACCGGTTGTGGACGTTTGAAAATGGCGCAAAATAAAGACGTCGCTGTCCGCTGCTTCAGAGCTCTGCTGCTGGAACCATTTCAAATCATTTCCACAGGAAGTCAAATACTCATGTCGTTCCAAACCCGTAAGACCTCCGTTCATCTTTAGAACACAAATTAAGACGCATGACGCATACATGTGGTGCTGCTGACGCAGGAGCCACGTTCTGATGGAGAACTCGGATGCGCTGTGCCTTGTTTACAAGCAGAGCAATGCACACTTATGCATTGTGGTACTGTCGTGAATGTGCGTCAAAGACTGACACGGAAGAGAAGAAATTGTTGAATAAAGTGGAATTTTCATTTTTGGGTGAACTATCCCTTTAAGATAGTCACCTGTTGCCACCTACTGGCATAACAATCAAATTTGATGACTGGAACCAGCTAAAGTTTATTACTGGTAAGTGTTTCTTGACCACATCAGTGCAGTGAATGACCATGCTTACCCATCTTATTTTGCAATGCTACAGTTAAAATATTTTATTTAAATGTGAAGATTTAGCCACTATAAAAGAATGACAAAGTAAACAGTAAAACGATTTGCGCTACAAAATAGTGTGTTCATGAAGATGATAATAAAATAAAATGATAACAAATATAACAGTTCGGAATATAAATTAAGCAGAATTATGGACTGTTTTGGTACAGATAACATATATGGAAGCAAACGACACCGGAAGCCTCGCACATGACCGTTCTTAAAAATAAGGTGGATAGATGGATGAAATGATATTGATAACAGGCAAATAAACTAAATCATCAATATTTTTGCTTCCTAAATAATATCTGAAACACCGTGTTTTAAAAATGTGTTTTATTGGCCAGATGTTGTGGCTTAGGCTACATCATGAGTCTTGACGATAGTAGAATTCAGCAGAAATAGAGCAAGCTGTCTGGGATATTGCTTAAACATTTCCTGTTTGCTTTGAAACTATGCCAGTTAGGTAAACTCCTCAATTACATCCCAGTCTGAGAGATAAAATCCCGTCAGGAGTCTTGGGTTAATCATTGTTTGTGTGTGTGTGTGTGTGTGTGTGTCATAGTCTGCAGTGGGCACACTCATGATGAGTACTCATGATGAACAGGTTTTATTGGCCAGATGTTGTGGCTTAGGCTACATCATGAGTCTTGACGATAGTAGAATTCAGCAGAAATAGAGCAAGCTGTCTGGGATATTGCTTAAACATTTCCTGTTTGCTTTGAAACTATGCCAGTTAGGTAAACTCCTCAATTACATCCCAGTCTGAGAGATAAAATCCCGTCAGGAGTCTTGGGTTAATCATTGTTTGTGTGTGTGTGTGTGTGTGTGTGTGTCATAGTCTGCAGTGGGCACACTCATGGTGAGTACTCATGATGAACAGTGCAGCGCTTCCTCAGCTCTATGACTCCGCCCCTTCGCCCACCTGTCCTCGCCCAGTCTAGTGAAACGCAGGAAAATAGCAGCGCATAGCCTATTTCTCAACATGCTGTAAATATATTAAGACTCGGTTTTCGAATATGATTTCATGTCTAAATTGTGTCTTTTATTAGCTTCTCCGTAGTTTATAATCTGCTCTTTTTATCTTTCCCTTTTTCCTTTGGATTTTTACGAAGTGTCAAATGAAAAGCGTGACGCCCGTTACAATAAGCCACAAGCGTCCTTATTTGGTCATTGGTCAATTGTTTGTGGTAGGCATGTTGCATAATGTCAACATGAAAGGAAGATACGAATCTTACAGGAGCGCTGCTATGACATCATATCCTCTGAGCTATGGGGATAGTTCAGGTTGTTTCATTATAACAGTTACAGTAGGACTGGAGACATCACACATCTACTCTTTCTTAGCAATTTCTCCAGCAATGGACAAAGTGGAAAAAATGTTGATACTACTGCTATTATTGCAGAGTAAGTACTTGTTTTGCTTACCATATGATGTTTACACATTATTAATCTTCATAGTTTTCATGACTTTTTACATTTGGGTGGACAGACATGTTAATATTTTCAAGCTGCAACAAATGAAGATGTTGTGGTAATGATCTATAATGAAACTGTTTTATATATTACTGTCAGTAAAAATATCTTAGCCTCCTTAAACAAGATCAACTTAAAAATATACAATTTAAATCGTATGAATTGTACAATTGTACTTTCAGACAATATACTGCATGTTGAATTAAGTTTTTTTTCCCCTACCCATGACAATTCTTTGTTTTAATCACAAATCTAACTAAATTGATAAATACCAATTTGAAAATTTGAAAAATTAAGATTTAAACTATTAATTTAACCAATTTTGCTTTTCAGGTAAATGTATCTATTTATCTATTTTTCTGTATGAAAACAAAAATCGATTTTATGTATTTGTTTATTTATTCATTCATTCATTTTCTCACTCACTCTTGGAATCTATACTATTAAAAAAGAAATATACTTTTGTACATGATAAATCTGTGCTGATGCAAATAAATCTGTATAATAAGTCCCATTGTTTGTTGTGAAGGTGTGTTTGGTGTTAAGTCTAAAAAGGGTTGGGTTCTCACTTCGACTTATCAGTATTGTTTGAAATATGCCGACATACTGCTGGTCATAGAAAAGGCTTACCAATGTCAGATGTCTCATGGCAAAAAAGTTTTTTGACGAACTAGAACCGTATTAAATATACTGTATGTGAATATACATTTCCAAACAAAATAGGGTCTAAAATCATAGCTGAGAATGTCAAACTTTTCCCCGCAGGTTTCTGTATTGCTCACACTCAGGGTTTCAATGTGGGAACTGCAGGGGCTAAAATCTTCTCAGGTCTTGCGGTAGAAGAGTTTGGCTACACTGTACAACAGATAAGCAATGATCAAGGAAAATGGTAAGATATGTCATACACCAGACATTTTTCTGAAACATGTTCAAAATGTATAAAAAAAAAAAAAAAATTGTGGATCCAAAGTCTATTTCCGGAAGTGTCGGACTGATACTTTGAGTCACAGTTCACTCACAGATTACAGTGGGGAATTTGAGACGGCTTTGTTTATGACTAATTCCTGTCCGGAATACCAGGAATTGTCATTTATTCTAAAGGAAAATTATTTGGCACTCTACCAATCTTAAAGGAATAATACACCCAAAAACAAAAATTTGCCAACAGTGTACTCATGTTCAGGCCATCCAAGATTTGGAGAAATGTAGCATTACATGACTTGCTCACCAATGGATCCTCTGCAGTGAATGGGTGCCGTCAGAATGAGAGTCCAAACAGCTGATAAAAACATCACAATAATCCACAAGTAATCCACACCACTCCAGTCCATCAGTTAACACCTTGTGAAGTGAAAAGCTGCGTGTTTGTGATAAACAAATTCTTCAGATGTTTTTATCAGCTGTTTGGACTCTCGTTCTGACGGCACCCATTCACTGCAGAGGATCCATTGGTGAGCAAGTGATGCAATGCTAAATTTCTTCAAATCTGTTTCGATGAAGAAACAAACTCATCTACATCTTGAATTGCCTGAAGATTTCATTTTTGGTTGAAATATACCCTGAGTATAGGGAAACATATCATAAGCACGGGCAAAAATAATTTGCATGCATAATTAGTTTGATTGCATAGAGAAATGGTTATTTTTGCTCAGGCTGCTGGTGGGTTCTCCCTGGAGTGGATACCCTCAGAATAGAAAAGGAAATCTCTATAAGTGTGACATTAGTGCTTCAAGAAGAGCCACCTGCCAGAAACTAAACCTTGCAGGTAAATTTCTCTTTATTTTAAATAATTATGCACTTGCAAAAAGTGTTGTGGTATGACCATGGGCTTTTGGACATGATACAGCACCATTGTTTTTAAACTATCTGACACCACAATACTTTTGAAGTCCTTTAAAGTCCATTCAAATAGAATTAACATAATTTAAATTTTTCCCACTTGTCGTGAAAATATATCTGTGTCTTCACAGACTCTATCAGCATAGATGGTGTGCAGAGCATCAATGTCAACATGAGTCTGGGCCTGACTCTCACTCCAATAGCTAAACCTAACACATTGATGGTATGCTGTAGTAGCATTGTGTCTTCATCAGGGGGCGGGATCTTACTCCTTTTTGAAAACACTCATTCAGTCCTTGACATACTCAAGATACAAGACATGAAACTGTAGAAAGCTGATGGTATGTTTGTGTTTCAGACGTGTGGTCCTCTGTGGGCTCAGCGCTGTGGCAGTCAGTATTTTTACCCAGGAGTCTGTGCTGAAGTGAGCCCACAGTTTACGCTCCAGTCATCCTTCTCTCCTGCCATTCAAAGTACATCTTATTTTGTATTGTCAGAAATGTACAAAATACTTTATAGTGTAAGTTAGTGATTCTTAATCTGAATTTCTCATTCAGCTTGTGGTGGGCCAATGGATGTTGCCATTGTTTTGGACGGATCAAACAGTATATATCCGTGGCCTGATGTTAGAAACTTTCTCATAAAGCTTTTGGAAAATCTCGATATCGGACCAGATAAAACTCGAGTAAGTACTGTTATTTACCTTATTCTGATCTGATTTTGTCTTTGATTTATATGATATGACTTAATTGGGATTTTGTTTATTTTTTAGGTCAGTATAATGCAGTATTCAGAGGATTTGTCCTTTCTTTATCATTTTAGTTCTGACCAAAATAAAGACAAAGTTCTTTCAGCAGCTTCTGGTATTGAGCAAAAAACTGGAACAGAAACCAACACTTTTGAAGCACTTGACAATGTCAGGTATTTATTTTATTTTATTTTATTTTATTTTATTTTATTTTATTTTATTTTATTTTATTTTATTTTATTTTATTTTATTTTATTTTATTTTATTTTATTTTATTTTATTTTATTTTATTTTATTTTATTTTATTTTATTTTATTTTATTTTATTTTATTTTATTTTATTTTATTTTATTTTATTTTATTTTATTTTATTTTATTTTATTTTATTTTATTTTATTTTATTTTATTTTATTTTATTTTATTTTATTTTATTTTATTTTATTTTATTTTATTTTATTTTATTTTATTTTATTTGTTGGGGAAATAAAACATTCTTTGTGTTTCAGACAAACAGCTTTCCTACCAGAAAATGGTGGTCGTCCCGGTGCCACTAAGGTGTTGGTGGTGGTAACAGATGGAGAATCTGCTGATGGTTATAAAGGTCAAGAGGTCATTGAGAGATGCAACAGAGATGGCATCATTCGCTTTGGCATTGCTGTGAGTGAGAGATCAGCATGAAAAAAAAAAGCATTACGTGAACAAGATATGATACAATTATGCATTTTTTTTATCTATTATGCAAGTTGAAATGAGAGAACATTACGTGAAATACAATAAGCAGTGAGATTCATTACAGAAAATAAACAATTTTAAGTATTCATTGTTTAAAATTTCATACTACACTGTAAAAAAATGCTGGGTTAAATATAACCCAGCTCTGGGTTAAAAAGGGACAAAACCAGCAATTGGGTTGTTTTGACCCAACCGCTGGGTCAAAACAACCCAATAGCTGGGTTTGTCCCTTTTTAACCCAGCACTTTTTTAGAGTGTAAAGTACCTAATTTTACGTTTTTTATATTTTTTAATATTTTTAATTTTTTTTTATTTTTAGAGTATGTCTTGAATTAAATGCATTTTGTTTTATTTTGTTTACAAGACAAACATCATTTTTGAATTTGATGTATTACGGTCATCTATGAATTTATTCAGATTCTCAAGCAAAGTGCCAATATTCAAAAATTCCTAGAGGAGATTGAATTGATCGCTAGCGCTCCAACAGAGAACTACATGTTCAATGTGTCATCAGAGCAAGCGCTAATCAATATCGCAGGAACTCTGGGGGACAGGATCTTTAACATTGAAGGTAAATCGTTCACATATGCCAAATTAATAATGACTTCATCCAGTGACAACAAGTCACCTTTTTAACTTAAAAAACAGCTTTAAATTAGGATAAGCTTTCGAATATTTTGTCTTGTTTGATTTGAGGCACCAGTCAAGGTCAGGAATTTCAACTGGAGATGTCCCAAGTTGGATTCAGCGCACATCAGACCAATAAGAAGGTGCCAGTAATCTTTCAACATATCTGATTGAGTAGTCAAACTAATTTCTGATGTACCATACTGATTCAGAAGAAATTAAGGCATGACGGGGTGGCATTTTGTCCCACAGGATGTGATCATGCTTGGTGCTGTCGGAGCGTATGGATGGAGTGGGACCGTCGTCCATCAAACAGCTGGGAAATCACACATTTTCCTCAAAAATGCGTTCGAGAAAATCCTGGATGACAGAAACCACAGTTCATTACTTGGTGAGCCAGCCAGAAAACGAACTGTAAAGTATTTTGAATGAACGAAAGCAAATATAGAGGTCATGTAACTTTATCTTTTCATATCCATGCTACTGTCCAAAAGTTTGGGGTCAGTAAGATTTCATTTTTAAATAAATTAATACTTTTATTCAGCAAGGATACATAAAACTGATCAAAAATATTATTTAATCATTTCAAAATGGAAAAAAAATGGGAAATCACAGTTTCCACAAAAATATGAAGCAGCACAACAGTTTTAAACATTGATAATAATCAGAATTTTTTCTTGAGCAGCAAATCAGCATATTAGACTGATTTCTGAAGGATCATGTGACACTGAAGACTGGAGTAATGATGCTGAAAATTCAGCTTTGCATCGCAGAAATGAATTTAAATTTAAAATGTATCCACATAGAAAAGAGTTATTTTAAATTATAATAATATTTCACAATATTACTGTTTTTACTGTATTTTTATTAAATAAATATAGCCTTGCTGAGCATAAGAGGCTCCTTTCAAAAACATTTTAAAAATCATATTGACCCCAAAATTTTGAATGGTAGTGTAACATGCTGTTTTGACTGTATTTTTGATTAAACAAATGCATTGTGTTCAGGATACTCTGTGGCATCTGTGACCGACGGCTCGTCTGAGTTTTATGTGGCCGGTGCTCCTCCAGGCAAGGTTATTTCAGGTTGTAAAATGTCATGTGGTGCGACTACACAAAAATATGAAATAGTGAATTATTAATTTATTTATTATTTGTAAAATATATATATATTAAATCATTAAAATATATTAAATAATTTAATTATAGCTTTTCTTGAAAATAGTGTAAACATACCATATGAAACCAATGTTAATACAAAGAGTACATTTCTAAGAACTAAGATGCATTAAAATATCCACTTTTTGTCTTATTTGTTATTTCCCTTCATACTAAAACAAGTCTTCTTATTTTGTTGTCTCTCTTGTTATTTTCTGCAGAAAATACTGGGATCCAAACTGGGCCCAGCGCTTCGTTTCTTTGGACGCTCTTTAGATAGTCGTGGTGATATGAACGGTGACTCAATCCCAGATATTTCAGTCGGAGCGGCTGGGAAGGCAGTGCAGCTCTGGTGAGGTCTCGGTCTAGTTGTTTAAGATCTATAAAATCATAATGAAACCGTGATGCTCATCCAGTATTTGTGATCTCAGGTCAAGGGGAGTTGCAGCTGTCACAGCAACGGTCTCCTTCAGCCCTGAGAAGATCAGCATTCTGAGTAAACCTTGCATGTTTGGAGGAAGGATGGTGTCGTGTGTTAGTGCCAAAGTCTGTTTCAGATCAAAATTCAGACCCACAGTATTAGCGGGTAAAGTAGGTAAGGTTGTCTCTCATGTGTTTTGTATCTCATATATTCTCCAAAAATCTCCATGAAAGTGAATGGAAATACACTTTTGTTTAGACATCAAGTACAACCTGACTCTTGACGCTGACCTGCAGTCATCTAGAGCCACTTCAAGAGCCCAGTTTGACAACTCAGAGCGACTTATCCAGAAACCTGTCAGCGTCTCTGATAAAGAAAGCTGTGTTGATCATAATGTCTATGTGCAGGTGAGTTTTTGCCACTTACCACAAGCCTCACGCTGTTCAGAATAACAATACTCTGTACGCTAGCTTCATTTCATTTCAAAGTGCTTGAATGATCATTTTACATCGTTGCTTTTATTGTTTAACAGGAGACTCCTGATTTTGTGAGTCCAGTTGCTTTGCGAGTCGACATCAGTCCACAGAATCCAGACACGGGCCCTGCCCTGGATGCATTTCAGCCCAAAGCGTGGGAATTTTTTGTAAGCTTCCCTCTGAATATAATTAAGGGCATCAGTTTCAGTCGTTTCAAAGTTTTTAAACTGTCTCAAATGTATTCCTGTTTGCTCAGATCCCTTTTGTAAAGGACTGTGGCTCTGATGACAAATGCTCTTGTGACCTGAAGCTGACTGTGAAAGCTGTTGATGTATCTAGGTAACCTTACACAAAAACACACACAATGAAAGTAAAATGTAAAATGGTAAAACTACTAAGAATGTAAATATAAGATGAAAATTTAAACTTGAAAACAAATAAAAAAATTGAAATGTTGCCTTGCCAACTAACTGAAATAAATAAGTTAAAGTGGAAGTACTAAAATTACCCAAACAAAAATAGATTAAAACTATATATGTATATATACACACACACACACACACACACATATATATATATATATGCATAAAGGAAAATCTAATAAAAATGTCAAAATTTCAAAACCAAATTACTAAAACTTAAACTAAAATTAAAACTGGAAATATAAATAAAAAATATAAAACCTAGAAATATAACAATAAATGCTGTGATAGTATATAAGTAATACTAAAATTTCATAAGAGCCGTCTATTCAACTTTGTATGAAGGCCAGACCAAGGAGATTATTCAGTAATCTCCTTGTAATAATTACTTAAAATGTAAAATAAATAAATAATTTTAAAATAAAAACTAAATCTAATAATTTTAAAATAAAGGGACAGATTTACTAGCGTCTTTTGGTGTTAAAATAGTATACTGTCAGGATTTACCCTTTCAGACGCAAAATGTATGGGAGGAGAGTATTCAAATTAATCATGCACCGATTTACTAACGTTTGCACTTGTTAGTCTTAAACTATTTTGCGCTTGAAATGGCTGCATTTGTTGTTGCTAGGAGGAGGCACCGCAGAGAACAGAGAGCGCATGGTAGAACGGAGAGGATTTTTTCCACACGTATAAATTAATTCATTAATGTTTGGAATGCCAGAAGAACACATTATCCCAATCCGAACATATCCTTACGCTGATTTACGTTGCGCTTGGTAGATTGCGTTGGTCGATATGTAAATAAGATGTTGCGTCTGCGCTCTTTAATTTGCGCATTGTCAGTAAATCACCCGCAGAAATTTCCACGCCCATCTGCGCTGTTTTGGAATTGTGCTCTCACGCTAATTTGCCCAAAATCTAAATCAAACATGTACTAAAAAAGATATTTGAAGCATATCACATTATTGGTTTATATGCATGTCAAGTTACATTAACTGACATCAGAGAACCATGAACATGTAAATGTGATGTTAAATTATTCAAATTAATTCAAAATATCAGGGAGTGCTTCAAGTAAAAAGTCAAATAGGTTCTGCTGAAAAAGACGTTTGGGAATCTCTAGGAGAGAAAGAAAGACAGACTTTTTGTTAGTGTGAACTGTCCCTTTAAGAGTCAACTAAAAATAATCAGTTACTACCAGCAGGGCTAGATGTATTAAAAGAACCAGAATCCTGAAATGTAACAAGATTTTGTTGTGTTTTGCAGCTCATCTTCACTTCTAGTCAGACCTGACAGAAGAAGACTGTCCTTCGTCGTGACAGTAACGAACATGAAGGAAAATGTGTACAACACAAGAGTGTCTGCTAACTTCTCCAGGAACCTGTTCTACGCCTCTTTTACACCACCTGTACGGCCACCATGTTGTGTTCTGGCATAAGTCTGCTCTGGTTTGTGTACGAGAAATTGTCTCTGTGAATCTTCTTGCTTGTGTGTGCAGGGAGACAACACTGAGGTGAAATGCAGTTCAAAAACAGGCTCACTCGACTGCAGAGTTGGATATCCAACCTTGACGCCTGGCCAGACAGTAAGAGAAAAGCATCTGTGTGTGTGTGTGTGTGTGTGTGTGTGTGTGTGTGTGTGTGTGTGTGTG